CAGCAGCAGCAGCAGCAGCAGCAGCAGCAGCAGCAGCAGCAGCAGCAGCAGCAGCAGCAGCAGCAGCAGCAGCAGCAGCAGACCAGTGGTCCTGTCTTTGGGAATGGTGGCTTCGCGGATATCTCCGAAAGGCAAAAAAGCAGCTCTTAAAATTTGCTCATCAACTTCTTCCGCTAAACCTCCAATATAGAGAGTTCGTTTGAGCCGCGACTCCGCGGCCTCGCTGCCCATTTTCCAAACCCTAAACCCTAAACCCTAAACCCTAAACCCTAAACCCTAAACCCTCGCCCAGAAGCGCGCTAGGGGCTGGAAGGAGAGTTGTCGGCGAAAGCGAGGGTTTGAAAGCTAGGGTTTAGGGTTTGCGGAGGGTTAAGGAAGCAGCAGCAGCAGCTGCAGCAGCAGCAGCAGCACCCGCAGCAGCAGCAGCAGCAGCAGCTGCTCGGCTAAATAGATCTTTCGGACAAGCAAGTAACACAAAATAGCCACTTTACCTACAATTTAGGGTTTAGGGTTTAGGGTTTTGCTTCTCGGGTTTAGCTTTCCTCTGCCAGCAGCATGCAGACAGCCAGCCCCGACCAAGTTGGAGCAGCAGCTGCTGCAGCAGCAGCAGCAGCAGCTGCTGCTGCTGCTGCGCTGCCTTCAATTGGTGTATTCGACGCGTTACGCAGTGAAGAACTCAGGCTTTGGGGTTTAGGGTTTAGGGTTTAGGTTTTAGAGATTAGGGTTTAGGGTTTACGGCCCGCCTCGACCCGCCACGCTAGCTGCTGCTGCGGAGGACCGCGGCGATTTGCACACGGCAGCAGCAGCAGCAGCAGCAGCAGCTGCTGCTGCAGCAGGAATCCCTAAGCGGCGACGACAACAACAGCAGCAGCAGCAGCAGCAGCAGCACGGCTGCCTCGCGTGCCTGCCTTGATCCTTACATCCGCCCATGCATATCCAGATTCTGGGTGTTAGGGTTTAGGGTTTAGGGTTTAGGGTTTAGGGCTTAGGGTTTAAGAGTACGGTGTGGCTCTGCTGCTGCCTGCGGCGAAGCCACGCGACTGCTAGTGCCTGGCGGAGCAGCAGCAGCAGCAGCAGCAGCAGCAGCTTTAGCTGCTGAAACTTTACAGCAGCAGCAGCTGCTGCTGCTACTGTAGGCCTAGCAGCAGCAGGACCTTGGGTAGCAGCAGCAGCAGCAGCAACACACCAATCGCCTCGCCAGCAGCAACAGCAGCGCAGCCGTCCGAACCGGCAGCAGCAGCAGCGTCAGCAACGCCCTAACAACCAGCAGCAGCAGCAGCAGCAGCAGCAGCAGCAGCAGCAGCGTCAGCGACGCCACAACAACCAGCAGCAGCAGCATCAGCGTGAGTGTCAGCTTCGCTGCACCAGTCTGCAGCAGCAGCAGCAGCAGCAGCAGCAGCAGGGGCGTCAGCGACGCCGTAACACTCAGCAGCAGCAGCAGCAGCAGCAGCAGCAGCAACAGCAGCAGCAGCAGCAATGACGGTCCCAGATGCTGCTGCTTCTCCCGTGCCCCACAAGACAACTTTGTCTCAAGAGCAGTCCGAGCAGGTTCGGCTGCTGGGGCACCTCGTGCGGGCAGATGCAAACAACTCGCAGGTCTGCTGCTGCTGCTGCTGCTGCTGCTGCTGCTTCTGCTGCTGCTGCTGCTGCTGCTGCTGTTGTTGTTGTTGTTGTTGCCGGCGCTACTGGTGCTGCTGTTGCTGCTGCTTCGGTTCTTCGTCAGTGCGGCCGTGCTGGGTGCGGGGGTGGTGTGGGTGCTGCTGCTGCTGCTGCTGCTGCTGCTGCTGCTGGTGTCCCTGTGGGTGCTGTTGCTGCTGCTGCTGCAGCAACAGCTGCTGCTGCTGCTGCAGCAGCAGCTGCTGCTGCTGCTGCTGTCGCTAGTGCACGTGGAGGCAGTGCCGCTGCTGCGCGGAGGCGCGGCAGCCCCCAGGCGAGGGCCCGCGCCTCGCTGGAGAGCGCAGGCCCAGGGCGCAGGGTTTAGGGTTTAGGGTTTAGGGTTTAGGGTTTAGGGTTTAGGGTTTAGGGTTTAGGGTTTGCGCAGGTGAAGCAAGAAGCCGTGATGGAGCGGCAGCCCGAGTGGAGTTTGTTGGAAAGGGCGGGTTTAATAAAAAAGGGAATGGCAGCAGCACTTGCGCAGCTGCACGGGCTGGACTCGGAGCAGCGGGCCGACGCAATCGCCGAGGCAAACCCTAAACCCTAAACCCTAAACCCTAAACCCTAAACCCTAGGCCCTGCGGGCTGGGCGTGCAAGGTGCCTGCGCGCGGCGCGGCCGGGCCGCGCGCCCGCGCCCCAAACCCTAGCAGCGCAGCCCGCGCTGCACCAGACCCTGGATTAGGGTTTAGGGTTTAGGGTTTAGGGTTTAGGGTTTAGGGTTTAGGGTTTGTGGCGCAGAACCCGCAAGTTGTGGCCGCCCTCGTGGCCGTGCTGCGCCTCGAGGCGGACATTCAGCCAGTGCAGTACGCCTTGACCATTCTCTACGAAGTCGTCAGGGGTAAACCCTAAACCCTAAACCCTAAACCCTAAACCCTAGGTCGGCGGCTGCGGGGCCTAAACCCTCGTGGGGCGGCAGCAGCGAAGGGCCTCTTTGCGCGCTGCTGCTGGGGGGGCGCAAACCCTAAACCCTAGCAGGCGGCGAGGCCTCGGGGACGCCGAACGGCAGCAAACCCTAGCAAACCCTAAACCCTAAACCCTAAACCCTAAACCCTCGTTTGCTGCTGCAGAGAACAGCAGCCGCTACGAGGCCATGTGCGGAGCCCTCGAGAACTCAAATGTCTTCGAAGACTTTCTGCAGCTGCTGCAGCGCCCGGGGGTTGACAGCTACACGGGGGACCGCGCGGCCTTCATGCTTTCGGGGTTTATGTGGTGAGGGTTTAGGGTTTAGGGTTTAGGGTTTAGGGTTTAGGGTTTAGGGTTTAGCGCTGCCAGCCGGCTGCAGGCCCGCGAGGGTTTAGGGTTTAGGGTTTCGCGGCGGCGCCTGCGCGCCAAGGGCCAGGGCCGCTCAGCCGCGCCGCAGACCGGCCGCCAGCCCCCAGCCCGAGGGTTTAGGGTTTAGGGTTTAGGGTTTAGGGTTTAGGGTTTAGGGTTTAGGGTTTGTGGCGCAGCCGCGCGAGGAGTGTGGCTTTTTCCGAAGAACAAGTCACTTATTTTGTGCAGCAGTTAATTGCCAAGAAGTTTCCCGTGTCGGAGTCGGGGCGGCTGGACGCGCTGGTGAACATTCTCAAAATTGGTAAACCCTAAACCCTAAACCCTAGTCCCCAAACCCTAAACCCTAGTCCCCAAACCCTAAACCCTAGTTCCTAAACCCTAAACCCTAGACCCTCGCGGCCGGGTGCGCAGCGCTGCGAAGCTGCGCGCGGGGTCAGGGCCCGCCGTCCCCGGGCCCTGAACTCTCTAAATCCTAAACCCTCTAAACCCTAAACCCTCTAAACCCTAAACCCTCTAAACCCTAAACCCTCTAAACCCTAAATCTTCTGAACCCTAAACCGTGTAAGCCCTAAACCCTCTAAACCCTAAACCCTCTAAACCCTAAACCCTAAACCCTAGCTGCGTTTTGGCTTCGCAGATCGATGGCGGCCGCTTGTATGGGAGACCCCTGGTCTGCCCGAGATGTAAGCCTTAAACCCTAAACCCTAAACCCTAAACCCTAAACCCCAAACCACCGTGCCCGCGTGGGAAAAGCTAGGGTTTGCGGCACCAAGAGCACAGGGTGTACGGCCCAGGACCCAAGACCCAGGGCGGAGGGCCCACGGCCCAGGGCCTAGGGTTCAGGGTTTAGGGTTTAGGGTTTAGGGTTTAGGGTTTAGGGTTTGCGGACGCAGGCTGCTGAAGGCCCTTTCGCTGAGCCAACCCGCGGGCGTGGTTTACAAAGCAGTGTTTTGCGTTTGGCTGCTTTCTTTCCACGAGGGTTTTCCTCTTGCAATAACAGAATGCGGGATTTTGAAAGCTGCTTGCGACGTTTTGAAAGAATCCCGAGTCGAGAAGGTGGCTAGGGTTTAGGGTTTAGGGTTTAGGGTTTAGGGTTTAGGGTTTAGGGTTTGGGGTTGGGGTTGGGTTTGGGGTTTGCGCGCGGCGGCGCGGTGTTTCGCGGGGGGCGGGTCGAGGGGCGAGGGGTTTGGGGTTGGCGCTGTCTGGGTCGCAGGAGACAGGGTTTAGGGTTTAGGGTTTAGGGTTTAGGGTTTAGGGTTTAGGGTTTGAGGTCTAGGGTTTAGGGTTTAGGGTTTTGGTTGGGGTTCGCGGCTAGCGTTTAGCGCTGGGGGTTCGGGGGTCGGCAGGGCGGCTGCGGGCGAGGGCGAGGGCCGCTTGGGGGGATGAGGGTTTAGGGTTTAGGGTTTAGGGTTTAGGGTTTAGGGTTTGCAGAGAAGTTTTGGCGCGAAAACGTGATGGTTTTCGAAAAAGATGAATTCATCACAATTCAAAAAATCGAAAAACTCCTCGACAGCGAAGACCCAACAACTCAGGCCGTGGCTTGTTACGACTTGGGGGAGTTTGCGCGGCTTCACCCCGCCGGCAAAAAGTAAACCCTAAACCCTAAACCCTAAACCCTAAACCCTAAACCCTAGAACAGCGTTTAGCCGAAGCCGCAGGCCGGCGCGGAGTGGTGGTCCCTGCGCACTGGCGGCTGCCAAGCCCCAAACCCTAGCGGCGCGTAAACCCTATCTAAACCCTAGAAGAGCGTCAAGCCGAGAACTTTGGCCAAGTCCTAAACCCTAAACCCTAGCTCGGCCCTAAACCCTAGCTCGGCCCTAAACCCTAAACCCTCAGCGGCAGCGGTGAATTTGCTCGGCTGAGGCCGGTTTGAGGGTGCAGCGGGGCTAGGCGGGCCGCGGATCAGGGTCTAGGGTTTAGGGTTTAGGGTTTAGGGTTTAGGGTTTAGGGTTTAGGGTTTAGGGTTTGTGGTGCTGCAGGGTTTGCCAAAAGTTCAAAGTTAAGGACAAAGTGATGCTGCTGATCAGCAGCAAACACCGCGAGGTAGCAGCAGAAGCTCTTCTTTGTGTTCAGAAGCTGATGCTGAACAACTGGCAAGATGTGGCGAAACCCCAAACCACGAAGTAGCTGCCGCAAACCCTAAACCCTAAACCCTAAACCCTCGCGGCGCCCAGCCGCGCCGGGGCGCTGACTGCGCGGCCAGCAGGGCGCCTCGCGATTAGGGTTTAGGGTTTAGGGTTTAGGGTTTAGGGTTTGCATTATACAAGCTTTCTGCCCGCTCCTGGGGCTTCGACTGCGCGCTGCTGCTTCACTCAAGTGGGGCAGCAAACAGAACCAGAAAACCCTCTCGGGGGTTTTGCCGCTGAGGCTGCTGAGGCTGCACTGCTGCAGCAGTGTTGCTGCAGACCTGCTGCTGCACACGACCAGTCCAGCTCGGGGGCTGAACTTGAACTGTTGCGAAACCAGCAAGAAATAAAAGCATTTTCGTGATTTTCAGAGTTTAGAAGATTTGTAGTGCGCCATACATTCACTTGAAGTGCTGCAGCTGTGGCTGAAAAGCCGTATTCTCGACTTGTTTCCAGTTTCCCCTCGCGGCCACCTGAGTTGCACGGAGGGGAAAGAAGACCAAAATGCCACGAGTTTCTGCTTTCCGCAGTTCTCCGGAAATAAATATTAAATGTGAATATCTCTGTGGCTGAGATCGGCTTTTGTGGCCCAGAAATACTTCGCTTTCCTCCCCCCGAAGTTGGGGTGTATAGGCAGCTCTGCATTCAGTTTTGAACGACGGCTTTCCGCTCCGAAGGAATGATGAGGAAAACAGACTTTTTGTTGCACTTTAGACATTTCAATGTTTAGATATTCTTCCTTTAAATGCGTCTTCGTCGCGCTTTTGTTTTTTTTCCTCCTTTCCTCCTGCGGGTGCCGGCCGCCGCGCGCCGGGCGCGGGCGGAAACCCAAGGTAAGCGCGGCTGCATCTGGGGAAGCAGAGCCGCAAAGGACTTCTCAACAACTCGAGAACTTGCAGGAAAAACGCAAACATGACTGCCGGGTTCGTTTATTTGCCTCAGCTTCCAACTTGGCTTCAACGAAACTGCTGCGTCAGTGCGGGCGGCTCGCCGCGCCGCCCGGCGCTGCAGCAGAGGCTTTCGAGGCAAGTGGAAAGCTCTTTAGCCTTTGAAGAAAGTCCCAAGTGCTGCAGCAGCAGCTTCCCCGCAGCTCTTTCCTTGCTGCAGCTGCTGCAGCGGTAAGCAGCAAACTGCAAATTCGCAGCAGCGCTGCAGCAGCAGCTCGCCTTCAGAACTCCCCCGCAGCGCGCCGGAGACACAAAAAGGGGTCTAAGAGCCTCTCAGCAGCAAAAAGCAAAAAGAAAAAAGAAAAGGTACTGCAGCGCAGCAGCAAACGCCAGCCATTCAACTTTTGTTTTTCTAAATCCCGTTTGCAGAAGCTCTCGCGCTTCCTTGCAGCAGCAGCAGCAGCAGCAGCAGCAACAGCAGCAGCACCTAGGCGGAGATCAGCGCCTCCGCCGACGCGCCGCCGTTCCCCAAGAGGAGCTGCTGCACCTCCTGTGAGCTGCTGCACTGCTGCTGCTGCGCTGCTGCTGCTGCGCTGCTGCTGCAGCCCTGCTGCTGCAGCTGGGGCAGCACTGCTGCTGCAGCAGCAGCGCTGCTGCAGCCCTGCTGCAGCGACCGTGCTGCTGCAGCTGGGGCAGCACTGCTGCTGCAGCAGCAGCGCTGCTGCAGCCCTGCTGCAGCGACCGTGCTGCTGCAGCAGCAGCAGCAGCAACGAACAGGAACTCCAGGATATTGTCTCGAGACTTTATTGCAACTATTCTTTTCCCTTCAGGCTGCTGTTAATCAAGAAAGAATTGAAGACACAGACAGAGAAATTGCAGCAGAATTGGGAGGCGGGGGGGCCCCCCGGGGGCCCCCTGGAGGGGCCCCCGCAGCTTTTGCAGCTCCTACGTTAAGTGTTGCAGGCGAAGAACAACTGCAGCAGCAGCAGCAGCAGCAGCAGCAGCAGCAGCAGCAAGGGGGAGCAGCTGCCTCGCCTGCAAAGGCCTTTGGGGGCCCGGGCCTTTCAGTTGCTGCTCCAACTGCAGCAGCCAGAACAGCAGCAGCAGAAGCAGCAGAAGCAGGAGCAGCAGCAGCAGCAACAAAGCCAGTCAAGCCCTTCAAAGGCCCTTCTTTCGGCGTGGCAGCGCCGACAGCAGCAGCAGCAGAAGCAGCAGAAGCAGCAGCAGCCGAAGAGGAAGCAGAAGAGCGAGAAGCAGCAGCAGCAGCAGCAGCAGCAGGCTTTAAGTCCCCAGAATTTGGCGTTGCTGCTGCAGGCTATGAGGGCTGGCCCCCGCCAGGTGTACAGACACCTGAGAAGGGCCACGGGCGGGGAGTGAGTTGAATTTTATTTTCATTTTTAATTTAATTTAATTTAATTTATTTATTTTATCTTCAATAAACTTTCCAGGGAATTATTATAAATGTCGTCACCCGTAAGTCTGCCTTTTCCCGAAGCACTGCAGCAGCAGCAGCAGCAGCAGCAGCAGCAGCAGCAGCAGCAGCAGCAGCACCTAAATTGATCTTTCCGTTTTGCTGCAGCGCCGCCGCAGGGGCCCCGGCGGTCCAGCGTAAGTGCCCTGAGGCTATTTCTGTTATATTTATTTTCCCCTTCATTATCTGCTGCTGCTGCTGCTGCTGCTGCTGCTGCTGCTGCTAGGAGGTTGCTGCTGCCAAAACCCGCGAAAAGGCCCCCACTCTCAAACCCCCACATGTGGGGCCCGAAAGCAGGCATGGGGGCCCCCCTGAAGAATATGAAGAGCGGCTAAGGGAAAAGGAGCTGCAGCTGCAGCAGCTGCAGCAGCAGCTGCAGCAGCAGCAGCAGCAGCAGCAACTGCTGCAGCAACCCCAGATG